CTACTGGATATTGCCTCAAACAGAAAATGTCTAAACACTGAACACATGCTTTCTTTTCAATCTCTAGCTCCTCGCAAAAGCTTAATCCTTTTCTAATGTTCTTATTCTGGTTAATGTATCACCCACACTAAACATTCTATTCTCTCAGATTTGGTCCTTAACTCCTATCTCCTGCCTTTGCTAATTTTTTATGTAATTATTTTGTTTCACCTTTGTTATTGAAATTTCAATATCTATGTTTGTCATCCACACTGATGAATAATGTCTTTCACAGACCAAAGATGTACCTAGCATAGATTTATTAAAACCTTTCAAGGACTATAAATCCAGGATAAAATACCAAACTCATTTTCAAACCTTCTTGTCCTAATTCCTTCCAATTTGTGTAGTCTAAATACATTTCTTCTTCCTGCTTATTATTCTAACCAAATGAAATTTGCCTATTATCTTCAAATATATCAGATTGTCTTTATATTAGCTCTTTTATAGTAGTCTCCTTCTCTCTCTCTCTCTCTCTTTATCTTTATACCATTTTTACCCCCAGGATCAATTCAATATGGCCTTAGTTTTAATGTTCAAGGGACTTCTGTTCTAGAGCCTGCCTTAAGTCACTGAGATTGAATTGGCCATTTTCTCATTTGTGCCACTAGAGATCATGATTGTTGTTAAATGAACTGTAGGGTTTGGTCTCTGAAAATGAGAACACGATGGCTATGATGGTGTTTCAAGTTGTAGCTTTGTTATAATTCAAATAGTGATAGTAGTTACTCTAGAGGAAATTCCTTTCCTGGCCATTGAGACTGGATTGAGAGCCTTTTCTCAAACCAGGAATGAGCCTTTTGCCCATATTGAATTAGAGTGGCCTGTTTACTTGTCTGTCTCTTTTCACTTTTCTGAGAACTCCTTGAGGTTGGGGTCTAGGTCTATGACTCCTCTTCTCTCCAACATCTATGTCAGCTTTGTACATTGTAGGCAGGCAATATACATAGTTGACAAATATATGTTGCCAATCAATGTTCCAAGGCTCAAAATAGAACCATGAGTACTGGTTCTGCCTTTGTTCCAAATCTCCTAGATCTCCACACTACTACACGACAGGCATCATATTTAATCTGGAATTGGTTCCACAAAGTCAGATTAATGTACTAAGAAAAGATGAGGTTCTCTTATGAGCTTGTCTTGTGATATGACTTCAAGTTTGTGTGCCCTCTCTCTCCTTGGCTCATGGGGGGCTGTTTACCATTAAGCTCTCTGTAAAGTAGTGGACAGATAATCATCACATAAAGTCAGCTGCTTATATATGATTTAGAATGAACTTAATCCCTTTATGCTTAGCGTTCCACCTTTGAAACAGTACAAAACAAGGGAACATAATGAAAATATTTCTCTTCAAATTCTTGTTCCTTGAAATTTTTTAGGTAACACATATGAATTTCATGCAAAAATTCCAAAAATTGTAACCTTTGGTATGAATAGGTTGATTTACATGAACTGTTGAGTGTTCTTGGGGGATGGAATGGTATAGTAATAATGTCTTACATTTATTGAATGCTTACTTTGTTCCATACTGAGTGCCTAGTGCATTAAGTGCATCATACCAATTCATTCCTATTCTGGAGGTGGGAACTATTAACATCCTCATTTAATAAATGAGTCAACTGAGGATTTGGAATTCAAGTAACTTGCACAAAGTCACACACAACTGATGTCTGATATGGGGGATTCAAACCAAGACCTGTCTGATTCCCTTGGTGAAACACACGTTTACTAACTGTCACATGCATGCATACAAATATTTTACGCATTCAGAAGTGATATACTTCCGTTTAGATAGCCTACTTATGTCAAAGCTCTTTTAGCTTGCCTTTTATTGTTTTGGTGATCTGGAAAATGTTACTTGCTACAATCCAGAAGTAGATTGTAATAGTCTTGTAGTAGTCTCAGAGTTGGTCATAAATAGTATGAATAAGCAGCTGGTTCCTCTTGGCTGCAGCTGAGTTGAAAGGCTATTATCATTGTTTGTACATGTTCTATCATAGCAAAGTACCAGGTAGCCTACATTTCTAATCACTGTTTTTTAATTTATTAATTATTCAAGTATACAAATCATGAAAACATAAAAAATTATTCAAAACATGTATTAACTATCACTATGTACAGACGGTATCTCCTATCTTCTTTCTCCTGAAATAGGAGATGAGAATTTAAGAAATATACACCCCTCTACCTATAAAAAAGGGCTGATCAGTAGCAATTTTAAAAAGTAGTTAGCAAGTCGCAGCTTAGGCTTGGATTTTAGTCTTGAATCATTTGAAAGGTTGAGTACATTTCTATTCAGAGACTTTGAAAATATCACTTTGAAGATATGGTGGCAATATATGGACATTTGCTTTTAAAATGAAATTTCATATATTAAAGAATAGCATCCTAATTACTAAAGACAAGTTGACAAATCTCAATTATGTTATATGTACAAATTTATCTTTGGAAGAGTATGTTGTAAATAATAAAGTGTCTCTCACTCTATGAATTTTTATTTTGTTTTGTTGTTTGCAGTGCTAGAGATTGAATCCAGGCTTCATGCATGGTAGGCAAGGGTGTTATGACTGAGCTACTCCTCAGCCTTCTATGATTATTTTATGTTCATAAAGATAAACAATGCATCATATTAATTAAAAACTTGGATTCTGAAGCCATGCTGTCAGGGTTTTAGTTTTTATATCGTCACTTAACTAACAATTTGACTTGGCCATATTTGTATTATTTCTTTAAATTTCTTTACATATAAGAGGGGAATTATAGAATTTATGTCTTTGAATCATGGAAGAATGAAATGAACAAATTTATAGAAAGTAATTAGAATAAAATCTAGGCTAGATAGTCCACAGTAAGTGTTGTATTTGTAATTACAGTGATATTGCCTTGTATCTCAAGAAGTACACATACTACAGCTAAAACATACCACTCTTGTCATTTACTCATTAATCCATTTTTCACTTACCCAATATTTAATTCATTTATTAACTAAATAGTTACTTGTTGCTTATTTGATAGCAGGTCCTGTGCTTGGTAATATGTGAGATAAAATATTTTATCAGTCATTAAACTTGACTTCTTAAAAAACTAATCATTTGATGGAAAAAATATATAAAAATAGCTAAAAGGTCTGAGAATGCATCTCAGTGGTACAGTGTTTGCCTAGCATGCCTGAGGCCCTGGGTTTAATCCCCAGTGTCATACAAAAAGAAATAATTGTTATAGTATAAAACACAAATATTTAGTACAGAAAGAGTTTCAAATGATGTCAGACAAGAGTTCTGCACATACAGATATTTAATCAAATTATAGAGTAAATTTGCATGTTTTGTCTTCATTAACAAATTTAAAGAATTGTACTAGTGTTCAGTAGCACCTCAACATTCAGAAAATCAGTGGTAGAGAGAGATCATGAAAGTTCATCCTGAAGTTCCATATTCATTTTAGCAATGTATTATTTCTCAATTGTTATAAGATTGTCAGAGTGATAAAAAACATTTAATAACTGACATTTGTTCCTACTTTGCCACATTCATTAATACTTCACTTTTGAAAATCAGAATGTGATTTAAAATTTTTAACACAAAAAGTTAATATGGTCTTAAGACTTAATTTTTTACTTTGTTTCTTAAATTTATTTATTCTTTTAATTTTTTGACTATTTAAACCATTTAAATATTAATAATATGCTAAAGAACTATCAATATGTACATTATGTTGGAATTCATACTGTTCTATAATATAATATTGCCCATGGTTTATGTTATTCATAATTATATGGAAAAATCATCCTCATGGAAGAAGCATAAACGAGGGTATTATAGTACAGCTATTGCATAGTAGGCAAGGTTTTTCTTTGAAACATAAACAGGAAGAAATATTAAGATAATAAAAGATGTGATGTCAACTAGTATACTTTATTAAACATAAGAGGTTCTTAAGTTATGCTAATTCAAAGTTCATAAAGGATGAAACTTTTACTGCCGTATATTTTTAAGTATATCCCATCAGATATCCCAACCCTGTTTCTGCAAAATGGATATGATAATTTCTATGATGAGCTGCACTCTACTTGGTTTTTCAAGGGTAGCTTACTGTCACAGGATGAAAACATAAATACTTGTACATATGTCACACAGAAAGAGGCTAACTACAAAGACAGATGATTCAGATAACTCTGTGGCATTGAAGAGGTAGTGCAATCTTTCTGGAGGTTTGAGCATTTTAAGAAACATTCTGATTTGAAAATTAGGAATACCATTAGCTGTAGCAATGTATTGGTTACTCAATTTTTCATAAGCACTAAAACTAATTGCAGGAGGTAACATTAGTATCGGTTTCTCTCCTTTTAACTACCAATCTTTGTATTTTCTCATCTTTATTCATTTCTCATCCATAAGCACTATGATATATTAGCAATGTAGCATTCATTTTATTAAACTTTTAAGTTATATTTCAAAATACAGTTTTGAGTAAAAATGTTATTTACATTGATAAAATATTTTGTCCATGATTATTTACTTAATATTTATTTTTATTAAAGCTATGTGAAATTCTGGCTATTCCAAGATGAATGTCTAAAGAAAACCAATGAAGCATTTATTCAAGCCATCCTTAATCTATGCTTGAAGATAACACAACACATTAGAAAAAACTCTCAAAAAACAAAGCCCATTGAATCAACAATCCTCAGCTGGAACATGTTTCAGTTAGTCCTTTAATTTGTGTATTTTTTTCCCTTTTCTCACCTCAGAGATACTTTTCTACACACATGTAGACTTCAGGAGGGATTCAAAATTCTCAAATGCCCATGTTATCAGGGGACCAAGTTTCCTTTGTATAAGGAATATGTCACATGAGCCTGAGTTCTACAGTGAGCAGACTGCATTCTTAGCGTTTATATCTGCTGATGGATGGGAGGCAGGAGGCCCCTGGACACATCTTAACAGCACTGGCTTACTTACGATTGAGAGGCAGGCTCGCGTTGGTTGTGCCCAGCTTGTTGGCAGCCACACATGTATAGTTGCCGAAATGCTCCTGTGTCACATTGGTAACAGTGAGAATGGATCTTGTGCTAAAATTTTGAATAATAATTCCTTGTTGGCCATTGAAGAGCCTAGAAAACGAGTAAACACTATGTAAGTAAGAATTATGAACACCAGTTTCATTTTTATCTTAGATGAGGTCATGGCAACCCACAGACGGTTTGAACACACTGATTTTAGGATATAGCATGACAATAGTGCAATTATATTCTCCTTTACTTTTCTTCTCCATTCCTTTTCTCTTCCTCCTCCTCCTCTTCTTTTCCTTCTCCCCCTTCTTCATCCCTTTTCTTCTTCTTAAACCTCTTCCTCTTCTCTTTGCATTTCCCTCATTGTTCCCTAGCAGTTCCTATTCATACAAGCTTTTCAAACCAAATAAATTCAATTGTTTTAAGCTCCTAAAATGGCAAGGCCACATGGACATACTTTTTGTGATATTTGAATCAGACACCTTTTAAAGTGGAATCCCAGGTACATGCTAAGTAGTACGTAAGTCAGTAAAGTCCAAAAGATGAACCCTTAACACAAGCTTTATCAAGCTCCTTTCAGTAGGCCCTTTAAGAAAATTTCTGTCTAAGTAAGAATTCTTCTACAATGAGGCTGCCAACAAGATGTGAGCTCTACCTGACTAATTTCATGCATTGGTCACATTAACAGTACGTAAACTCATAGTCCAAATGGCTATGTAGTTTTTCTTCTTCAGAGTGGTCACTTTAGTGATAAATATTTCTTTAATCATGGATATACTAATAAATGACATCCTCTGAGAGCTTAAGTTGAACTCCTTTGCATTATACTATGTGGCTTGCATTTAACTGTAGTTAAATGCACATTAAAATAATCATGTTTGATTATTCTAGGAATTACTTACATTTCATGTAAGAGCTGAATTTGACTTATGCAAAATGTAAACTCTAATCAGATTAGCAAACCTTTGAGTTGAATAAACCCTGAACAAAATTTAACCTGAGCAATAAATAGAATGATCTTTAACTGTGAGACCAGACAATAAGGCATAAAATATTACGGATGTGGCACCTCCTATTCCTTTGTTTTACATTTCCAACCTACCAACATTTATGTTAAATTTCCATAGTGAGTATTGTATATTTTTATGCACCACATAAATAAGTTCATTTTTAACTAATCATTCTATGTTGGGTATAAAATCACAGATTCATTGCCCTGCAAGCTTCAACACTGGAGCTCAAATCAATTTGCCCGTGTCTGTGTCATAGATACGTTCTCTAGAGGACTCAGCAACTCCCAAGACTACTAAATCCCTGTTGTGCCCCATCTACCAAATCCAGGACTGTTTTGCTGTTAAAGAATTGAGAAGAAATGAAGCAGGATCTTCAGCCGGCTAGACTCTGGGGAGGCATTCTCAGGGGAGGACATGCTGGCTTTCCAGAGCTGCCCTAAAGCCACAGACACTGCTGAGTCACACCATGTCCCAGGCTGCCTGTGCCTGCAGGACCAGTTCTGGCCTCTGGCCAGAGTCCTGTGTGCATCCCAACAGCAATGCCACTGCTCCCACTTTGCTACTCAGCTAAGCCAGACAGGAGATTATGGCAAATAAAAAAGAAAAGTATTTTCCCTGGGGGATTTCCCTTGTTTCAAATGAAGCTACATTTCTTAGTACCCAGAGAAGTCTAAAGCTTCCTTCCTTCTCCAGTCAGAAGTTTTAGAAGCAGTGACTCTTCCTTCCCCTTTGACACTCTGTGCTCACCTGGTAGATAACAGGGAGGACCTTGGCAAAAACCTTGAGAGAGAGAGTGACTTCTGGGAAGGTGTATTTCTCTAGAGGAGGATATCTGTGATTTTCTTGCAGGAATCTGGCATTGGGAGCTTTCTTAGATATTCAAATCAATAGTGAAAGTGGTCTTTGAATTGAGGCAAAGATGGGCTCTCTGCTGAGAGATCAGGGAATAGGCTGAGCAATATATGAATTCTGCCCTCGAGAGGGACAAATCCAGGAAAGGACTCAGACATGGGAACGCATGTTTGCACCTGACGAACACACCCACCCTTCGTTATTGGAGGTAGACATCTGAGGTGCACCTTGAAGTTCTGTCCCATACTGTTTTCATGTGCTTAAATGCAGATAGTGAAAGAGTTTTCTAATTGATGATTTTTTCTTTTAGAAACATATTTAATCCTAGATGGTTGTCTGGAATAGTATTTTCTATAAAGAGCACCATTCTTGTATTGACTCAAATCCTAGTATAAAAGATGTTGTCTGGTAGCCTCTCGCTCCAAAGGAAGAGAATGAAATTCTGTGGAGGCAGAAGTTAAATATGGCCTCGTTTTCTTCAACAGTGGATCATCAGCTTAGAGAGCTTATGTGAAAACCTGTGGTCATTTTTCTTTGTTGCATCTGTATCATAAGGAATATTGTTATAAGGTGCTTCTATGACCGTAGACCCTGCTGTTTTCTACCTTCTGATGCCAATAGAAGTTTGTTCCTCTCGAGGACCATTACTCTCACTTTTCTTCCTTCTGCTTTTTGCCAGCACCTCATAAATCTGCCAACCGCTTGCTATTTGCTTTGCCAGATGATGCTGCCAGCTCCTAAGTGGGACGGCCCGACCGACTAACTAGTTCTGAATTAGAATAGACCCCTATGTTTTTCAGTGTCAGTCAGGAGAAGCACATGGAAGGGATGCTCACAATGAGGGATACTTACGTTTCTGGCTCACGAGGTGTTTGCAGTCACAACCTCCCTCAGGCTACCGCTATCTAGCATGACCAGAAGGGCCTGTAGCAGCCTCACCACAGAAAACCTGACTGCTCAGCCACCAGCACCAGCTGTTGAGATTGCAAAAATAAACGGAGCAGCTGCCACTGCATCTTATTCATTTTATATACACATCCAGCCTCACTCCACATTTCAGATTTTTGCTCACTATCTGTCTTTCCAGGTTAGGAATCACAATAAACACAGGTTCGGCACCATGATGGTATTCCTGGTCTTTTTAGTGTGAGGAGGAATACTTTATATGTGGAATATGTTAGTTGTTCTCAATATATGATGGAAGTCAGTCAGTGCTAAAAGATTTCAGTCTTGCACACAAAAGCTTTTGGTGTTCAGAGGATGAGGGATTGACAATGAAAAATCATGTAAGCATTTTCAAATGTGTGCATTCACAGGACTAATCTGTGAACTAATCTTCCCAGCAAACCTAAGAGATCGGTGTTATCAGTCCCATTATACATGTGAGAAAACAGATGTTTAAAAAGATTGAACTCATTTTTTTTTTTTTTACCACTTAGACATCAAGTCCATGTCCTTTATTTGTATCCTCTCCCAAGAACAGTCATCATACAAGTTTCCAAGTAGAAACCTGGATACTGTATTTAAATTTGGAGAGACAAATCAGAAATCGTGGATGCTTTAGGACAACTGACCTCAGCTAAGGAATAACACTAATGGAGCTATCCAGGTCTGATGGTGCATGCCTGTAATCCCAGAACTCTGGGAGGCTGAGGTAGGAAGATCAGAAGTGGAAGTCCATCCTGGACAACTTAGTGACTTAGCAAAACCCTATCTCAAAACATAAAAAACAAAACAAAACAAAACAAAAAAGCAACCTGGGGATGTAGCTGAATGGAAAAGTGCTGGATTCTATCCTCAGTACTGAAAACAAAATAAAACAAAACCCCTAATGGAACTAAAAAGTCAAATAGTATGTGATGTCCACACCATGAAACCCAGGTGCAAACCAGAGAGTGAATCTAATGGGGTTAAAAAGTCAAACAAACAATAAGCTTCATCCTACCCAGCTATGTGTGTATTTCCCTGGCCAGAGACTGCATGGCTGTTTACTTGGGGCCTGGTTACTCCCTCTGATATGGCCCAGCAGGTGTGGTCAGCTTCTGATGCAGGGCCTCCTTCTGGCTATTCACAGCCTGCGAAGGGAGGCATGAAAGTGCTTCTCCCTCCTGACTTCCTCAAACTGTCTCCAACATACATCCACCCTCTGCATTGCTTATTGTTTATTTCCCTAAGTGTTCACTAAACATTTAGATGGTAGGGAATCTCTCTTTATGGCGTATAAGCAGAATGTCATCAAGAATGGCAAAGTATAACATGACTAAGTGACAAAAATGTACTATTTTAGAGTAATTCCAAAATGGCATCTAAAGTTCAAGTTCTAGTGAGGCTATAGAATTATTCCACCGTCTGACTGGGGATGATAAATTCAGTTGTAAGTTATCACACACTTATGTGATTTTTGAAAAAAATCCATGTTCATCTTCCTCATTACATTATATCTTTATTTGGACAAACTTTCTGAATGGTTTCATTATTCAGTGAATTCAACCACATAGTATAAGAGTGCTAGGTTCTTAATAGGTAGGCATAGAGTAAGTAATTGTTGCATACATGACTTCATAAATTATGTTACTCAATCTTGTAATTCTGAGTTTTTTCATCTGTAAAATGAGAAAAATCCAATAGCAGATGTTAAGTTAAGAATGTTCTAAAAATATAATCTATGCAATATCTATTCATATACATATCAAACGCAGTAGACACTGGATTATGATGGGTGATATTATTGTTCAATGATAGGGTGTGTTTCTTAGACAGAACAGATACATTTCCTCTCTTATGGCAGCCAAATATTAAATATTGAGCACACAGGAAATTATTTTTAAGAAAAGATCTATGGTAGTGGCTGAAAAGATCATGGTGTCATGATTTCAAGATGTGCCAAACCCTGTATCAATTACATGCACAGTATCAAACTCATCTAGGTTTTCACAGATGTGCTGGGTAGATAACAAAAAATAGAAATAAAAAGGAGGAGGAGTAAAAGTTGCCAGAATCCAGAGGGAAATGGAATGTATGTGAATATGCTGCTATAGCAACGTATTGGTTTATTGTATTGTTTGACACTTAAGGCTGGAAAACAATATGGTATCATTTATTCCTAGGAACAGAATGAAGAATATCATGCATCACTGTGCTAGCCCCAAGGGGTTTCTATCTTTAGTTGTGCATTTGAATAAATTAATGTTATTAGAATACATTAGAATACTTTAATGATTCTAGATTTTATAAAGC